CAACCGCGGCGGGGAGTCCGGGCTCGGGCTGCTGCGGGCGCCGGCCCGGCCGGGGGCGCTGACAAACGCGCGGAGAGCGGGGGAGGCCGGGGAGGTGTCATCCTGCCAGGCCGGGTGAAAGTGCCTGGAAAGTTTGTTTTCGGCGCGGCGCAGCCTGGAGCCGGGCCTCCCCGGTTGCCTTTCGGGTCTCTGTGTGGAGGAACCGTTCTGGGCCTTCGCCTGGAACCGAGTCCTGGCGCTTCCGCCTGCAGGAGCAGCGGGAGGTGCGCGTTCCTGCCCAGGGCACCTGGCGCTCGCGGCCTTCGTTTCCGAAGTCTCGCTCGGAGCGATCTAGTGAACTCTGTTGTCGCGCCCGGCGAGGGACGTTTGGGTGCTTTTCCTGCCTATGACTCGGTTGTGGGAGGCCTGGGAGGCCGGGCTTGAAGGCATCGCCACGGGCAAAGCGAGCTTGGCAGGTAGGACGGATTTCAGGGGAAAAGACCGAGACAAACCACTTGTTGGGTTCAGTGCTTTGCGCAGAGTGTCGCTGGCGCTTCTGTTTCTCTCTGCTGCTAAGAGTATTCCTGGTGTTCTGTTTCCTTCGGTGAGCTCTGGAGTCTTGGGAGGCTGGTTTAAAAATGTATGCATCGTATGATAGTGAAGGGAGAAGTCTGGACAGCTGAAATCACAATTTGGTTTGAAAGGCATCTCCCTTGAATGAAGACCCAAGGGATTTACCTGAGCCCTTATCTTTCGGGATGTACCTTTTTGGGAGCGGTCTCAATCTTTTCGCGTGGGGGGGGGGGTCATGAGTCCCTTTGAGCGTCTGAGGAATGGTACGAGCCCCCGTCTGAGAAAAGTGCACAGCTTCACTGAATTTTGTAACTACTTCAGGAGGCCCTTAAGCCGTCTACAGCTCGTTCGTGGGCTTCAGGTTTGGACCCTGCTTTGTAGAGGTCCAGAGCTTCGGAGGAGGGGAACTGTTTAGTTAAGAAAAACGGCGAAAGGCATGCGTTTGACTATTGAAGCACTCGTGGCCCTACCCTGAGTGCCTGGACTAACAGGCAGAAACACTAAGCAGGCTGCTTGGCGAATCTCAGCGGAGGCTGGGCCGACAGGCACAGTGAAGTTTATGAAGTGCACTTACAGTGCAAATACAGTGATGCTGTGGCAGTGCATGGTGTGTTGTTTGACGGCGCCTGGGGAAAGAGGAAGAGAGCACATTATCTCTTGCAGTCATATACAATGGTCGTTTGATGTCTGCAGTTTTCTTCACATAGGCAGCTTTTGGGTGCAAAAACACTGTAATCCAGTGAGCATGAATGCCTTATGGAATAGGGAATAGGAAGTGGGAGGAACTAGGCTTTGGCATCTTTGTCAGCTATGTTCCCTCACGTGTGCATATGTGAGAAAATGCTGTATTTCCTGTCATTAATGACAGAGATGGCCCCAATACTGAATTTTCACCTGATAATGGTTAGACTGTCAGGGTTGACGTGGGTTTGCATCTGGACTTTGAAATGGCACGCAGGCATTGTATGATAAGCCCCCATCCCAATTTTTAACGTCCCACATCTCTTTACAAACATATGGTAGTAACATCCCATGTCTCTTTATAAACCTATGGCAGTGCAAGTGTGAAGGTGGACAAGTGGCCTAGCCAAGTGTGATGCTAAGTGGGCCCCAAACTACAAGTGCCATTTATTGAGCTCACTTACTTAAAGGCAGGCGTTTTATGTGCCTTCACACTGCATTGGAGGGGGATGTCGTTCCCATTTTACAGATGCGGAAACTGATGTGCAGAGAGGATAGTATCTGCCTTGTAAATATTAGGGTGCAATTTGGCAGAGACCCCAATGTCACCCTGCCCCTGAACCCCTGAGGGAGTGTCTACTGGGTAGCTCAGCCCAGTGCTTAGTGTAAGGAGCCCTCCGTGCCACTGCCCAGGATGTCTTCCCAGGATTGGACCTGAATGTTTTGACTATGCTGTGTCAGAGGCAGGAGGAACTTCTTCATGTGGAAGGATGTCTTCATATGGCACACATTTTTTTTTTAGCCAGGTGGCTGAACTTTGTGATCCCTGGGGCCTGTTTCAGCTTCCTGCTTCTGGTTCTGCCTTGTTTGGAGGTGGGTACTTTGGATGGGTGAGGCTTGGGATCCTCCTTTGGGAAAAGGATCATGTAACAATTGTATAAAGGTAGAATTAGATTCGGCACAGTGGCTCCCTGTATTCTCTCTGGCAGCTCTGTCTTTTGCAGGGGTTTTAGGGAAAGGCAGTGGGAGAAGCAGAGAGCATGGAGAGAAGTGGCCTCCAATTTCCACTGGCTCGTGGGGAGTTCCTCCTCATGAGGAGCTGGTATGCAGCATTATATATTTCTATTCCCAGCGATACCCCAACAACCGGTACCAAGCTTAGTCCAGACCTGGTGAGGTGAGGTCCTGATACTAGTAAAAGGTGCAGTGTAGGTTTGTTCTGCTCTCTTGACATGTATAGAGATGTGGGGCCTGGAGAGAGGCTTAGGGCTGCTCTTCAAGGCAGGATCGTAGCTTGTAGGCTGCATCGGCACAGTTTTGAGGAAGAACAGGGTATGTCCCCCCTTTCAATCTGTGCTTTTGTCTCCTGAGTCCCTGAGCCAGGATTTGGGTGCTTTGGGCAGCTGATTGACCCTGGTGGGGTCAGAATTGGGCAAGCAGTGATGAACTGGGAAGCGCTGAAGAGATGATGGGGCGTGTCCAGTCCCTTCTGAGAGGATGTGTTTGGAGGAGAGTGGTCACTAGCATGACACTTTCCAGTTTCAAGGAGTAGCTTTTGTGGAAATGGAAAGACAGGATTCCATGTGGCACTGCAGACTGTGAGAAGTTGCTGCAGAGACGCGCTGGGTACAGAAAAGACTCCGTCAGCAGGTGTGTGTGCTCTGTGCCTGCCTGCGGTGACAGGTGGCCATAGGGGTGCAAAGCACAGTTGTTTGGAAGGCAGGTTCAAAGGGCGGTTGACTGAGGAGGAAGTGCTGGTGTGGAAACTCTTAAGTTTTAGACAAGCATCGCTCTGGTCTTTTCAGCTATGCGTTCTCCTGTAACTGGGTTGCATCCTTCACTTGCTCAGAGAGGTGCTGGACCCTTAAAAAAATTATTTGAATATTGAGAATAGGTTGTATGTTCCATCGCTTAGCTGTTAGATTACAGGCAGGGTACATTTTCTCAAAGAGTAATGGGCAATATGTTCTGAAGTCTTCTTTTCTCTCTTAGAGAGGAGAAAAGCTTGTTTGGGTTCATCATGGCTGTTGGGGTAATTTTCTATGCCTGAGATTGGTTGCATTTATATAGTTGCACAAAGTCTGTTTCCATTCTCTTAGTCTAGAAACCTTTCCTGATGCTTAAACTGGAACTTTTATTTCAAGTCTTTTTTTTTTTTTTTTTTTTTAGTCAGAGTCTCACTCTGTCGCCCAGGCAGGAGTGCCACGTTCGTGGCCACTGTAGCCTTGACCTGCTAGGCTCAGGCGATCCTTCCACCTCCACTTTCCAAGTAGCTGGAACTGCTTGACCCGCACTGCCATGACTGGTTACTTTTTTGATGTAGAGACGAAGTCTTGCCAAATTCCCCGAGCTGGTCTTGAACCCCCTAGCTCAGTGAGTCCTCTCGCCTCTGCCTCCCAAAATGCTCAGAACAGGTGTGAGCCACTGCACTGGCCCAAATCATTTTGAATATAATGAGAGAGATACTTTGCTCATGTTAAAGGACTGACTTTTCTGAGCTTCAAATCCCTTATCAGTGTAGTTGGTTCTGGTTTCTGTTTAAATAGTTGGATTATACAGAGGCCCACAGGATCTAGAATTGACAGTACTGCAGTTTCTGTGAATGAAGAAGGTGGACGACTCTGACATAAGCATCCCACTGTTGAGCACACAGCTTCCTGCAGTGCAAACAGGTGTGTGGTTTCCAGGTGGAGTTTGCTGTGTGGCCTGATGAAGTTGGCATATAGTACTGCATGACTCCGTAACTTCATGCCACAGACGGAATCAGGTGCCCTCTGAACCAGCCACCGTGCTAGAAAATAGCTCAATCTGTGTTTCAAATCAGCTTGCAGCCTGTGGGAATTGAAATATTTAAAAACTTGGTCTGAAGGTATGTCTGGATGCCAGGAATGTTGGTTCCAGATGTCTGCATCTTCTACATGTTTGTGGAGCTGGTAGCAGGTCTGCCCACGCTGGTGAGGGCTGGTGAGAGGCTGTGAGTGTCTCAGCATAGGCTGTGTCTCAGCAGTATGCCAGTCAGAATGCATCTGGCTAAAGACTTCGTTTTTACAATAAATGTATTGTTAAAGTCCTGTTCTTCAACCTGTTTTTTTCCCCTTTTGGAATTAATTTTACTGCAGTAGGGAGGAGTTGTAGCTCAAAGTGACAGCGGGTATTGAATGCTGTCAGAGAAGGCTGATAAGATTTGTAGGGAAAGCGACTCGGTGGCTCAGCCTGTAATCCCATGCCTTTGGGAGGCTGAGGTAAGTGGATTGCCTGAGCCCGCGGGTTTGAGACCCGCCTGGGCAGCGAGACCTCATCTCTACAATAAATCAAAAAATCAGCCGGGCCTGGTAGCACATGCTTGTAATTCCGGCTACTCGGAAGGCTGAGGCGGAAGGATCGCCAGAGCCCAGTAGGTGAGGCTGCGGTGGCTGGGAGCGGCCACTGCACTCCAGTCTGGGCGACAGAGTGAGACTCCAACTCAAAAAGAAAAAAAAAAAAGATTTGTAGGGAAGATGTGACGCCACACCGAGGTTCTCATCAGGTGCTTGGATTGTGGGAAAGGGCCTTGTGTTCACTTGCCAGTTCTCCCTTCATGATTCCAGGAGACAGGGGTTGTGGGGGAGTGGGAGATGGGAGGTGGGACAGGGCCTGCAAGGGTCATTACACCTTCCAGACCTTGTTTCTGAGCCCAGTCTCACATGTGGTGCCTGCTCCTTGTCACTGCCTCAGCAGGGTATTTAGTGCAGCGGCCTCAGTGGCTGCTGTCCCTCCAGGAGAGGCACTGAGGGAGGCCGTCACCTCTGTAGGAGCATGCTGCAGATGCTGCACTCTCGGCACTCCCCACCCTGGCCGTTGCATGGACTTCCCGCTTCCCCCTTTCTGGTGAGGGGGCTCTAAGGACTTACTGACTGGATCCCCAGGTGCCAGCACTCCTGCTTCTCACTCTCATCACCTGGCCTGTTGCTTTGGTCCTCCTCCATGTGTCAGGGGCCCTGCAACAGCCTCTTTCCAGCCTGCATGATCCAGGAGCGTGCCAAGGATACTTGCGGCTTCTGTGTTCACATGGGTCTGGTCTCTTTCAAGCTCTCCCTGTTTGCCCGAAGAGGAACCCCCTGTGGCTGTACAGTGTTTTCTGACCAACTCGCTTTTTGGTGGCTGTCCCTTCCCCAGGTCTTTTCGTCTGCACCAAAATCTGTGATGTTTTCCATGCTCTCTTTCTCCAACACAGGTTCTGCGC